TGAATATTTGTGGTAAACCATTAGGTTAAAGATAAAGGCATAATTGTCAAATGTTGAATTTGGGCCGTCACTGAAGATTTCAGATTTCCCAATAGATGTTAGGGTTCATACAGCTGCCTAAGAGGTGATATTTATTTGCCTGTTTACGCACTCTTCTCATTTCCTGGCATATGTGATGGGACCAGTTGTTTGTCTGTAGGGCTCATGCACTGCTACAGCTGAACAGACTAAATGAATAGGGTCGCTAGAATTAGCTAGACTCTCAAAAAGGTAGCTGGGTCTGCTGCTGGAGAAAAGGTGATGCACAAGTCTGAAAATAAAAGCAAGGAGAGGGAAAGCTTTTGTAGGTGATGTAGTGAAGAAAGGGACTAGAAAAGTCATTTGAATTGCAGAGGAGTTTATCTCAAGGTGATGGAACCATTGCAATTGCTTGGAGCACATTTTCTCTATCGTTCCCTCCAGTGTTTGTTGGGGGGTGGAAGTGGGAGAGCCGTTGAGTTTCATTCTGCCAAAGGGAAAAATAGTGAAGGAGAAGGAGAGGGTAGTCAAAACCACCAAAAGAACCTTTTCCTCTGAACAGTAGAGAAGAACCTTAAGCCTGAGAGAACCAAGAAATGGGATGGTGAAAAGGGAGAGACGACTGATTTTTTTCAGTTTGCCAGCAGGTTCCAACACCAAGAAAGCTGGTGTTGAGGCCAGCCGCATAGGGAGGTATCTGAACTCCAGGCAGTTAAGCTACAAAGAAGGAATTGCTACTTTTGAGATTTTTGGCCTTTGGCACATCAGCTGGATTCTGTAATTATAGAGGAACTTTGTTCCTGTTCAGTCTTGACTAAAGTGTTTTCCTTCTGGTAGTTTATGACACTTTGTTTTTTGCTCAGCTTTTGTTAATTATGTGCTACGTCCATTGTTCCCAATGTAAGAGTTGCAATCCCAAATGCAGTTGTGGTACTTATTGATGGGGTCACAAGCCTCATGGAAATTCATGGAAAGTTCTACAAAACAGGCTTGTGGCAAGAGTGGGTTTGCTTCCTAGACAGATTGGGAACTGCGTTTGTAAATACAGGGAGGCATTGGGGTGTATCGCCTTTTAAGTCTACGCAAATATTCTGTTCCTAAGATTTGCATTTCTGCTTTAAAAAAAACTAGTTGTTCTTGCCCCTTTACATTGTTGGCATCTTTGGTGCCTTTGTTTGACGCCTTAAGATATTTTGGCGGATTAGAGTATGGGTGTGTTTTTCTTCAGTTGGCGTCTTTGAAGCCCTTGCTGAGTATTGCATCTGGTGTCCCCTGTTTCAGGAAATGCACAACTCTTCCAGCGAAGGAACGTTTAAATATTTGGCTTTGTTTGAATGAACGGTTACTTGCATCATTATTGTAAATATATTTTTCAGAGCTTTTGTACATTTTGTCAGTCTGGGGTACTGATGTGCACAAGGGGAATATGTCCATTCTGGATTGAGGGAACCTCTCAGTAATGTTTTTACTTTCAGCTGACAGGTCACCTCTATCCCAGAGAACCTCCTGGGAAATCGGGGGAAATGAGGTTATCACTCTGACACTTTTTGTATCTGGGTAACTACCAACCAGTATTTATTGGTTTTCTTTACAAATTTGTAAACCTCTTCATAAAACATCTAAAACTCTTTTCCAGGTAAGTTCTCCCCCCGCCGCCCAAATGTAGGGTCTTGAATCTGTAGCTTTAGAATGTGTATAAAGGCATATGAATATAAGGAGTTCTTGTGGTTATTCCCCCCCCCCCATGTCATGTGAAAGGCTTAGAGCCACTATCATACCTTTTCAATTTATTTTGGGTTTCCTGTATTTAGCAACATCAAATTCTAAAGTTAGAGTTTCATCTGACATTGGTACCAATTTGAGATCTTCTGGGCACAAAAAATACAAGTTTACCAAGTACAGTTTTAAAACTGGAGATGCTGCCAGATTGCATGAGACTCCTACCTCGTGTTTGAGCCTAGATTTGCAGAAAAACTCCAGTTTAGTTTGGGAGTGCACGACAGGACAGACCAGGAGAACAGAAGTGACAGCAGCTCCGAGGAAAACTAACTCTTGATGGTGTGACCCATAAAGTACTGGAGCAATGAGCCTATCAAAAGCCAGTTTCATATAAGTGTAGAAGGGGGTGTGGGAAAGACCCTTGAGTGATGCTAAATGGTTTCAATGCTTTGCATGTTTAAAAAGAAAAAAAAGGCAGTTTCTTACTTTGTGAAGGGGTGGGGTGGGGTGGATCGGGATTTGTGTAACGTCAAGCAAAGTTTGTACATAATTTAAAAGTTTATAATTTTTTTTATATGATGCATTTTTTCAAGTGTATTTGGTCTTTAATAGATGCAATTGTAAGTACTGTGTACACTATCCAGCTAATAAATTTATAAACTCTGAGCTCCTGGTTTTTTGGTTTTTTTAATAATTTTTTTGCTGCCTTTTGGGCTAAGCAGAGAGGGTGGTGGACGCTACCAGCAGCACTTGTTCACAGCAGTGGATGGCTTTCCTGTAAAATGAGCTGCCTTGTTAATGAAGAGTGAACTGCGCTGGAGCTGTGAAGCGACGGCACTCACTGGCAGACGGTCTCGCTGAAGCGTGGTCTCAAGCCATCGGTTACGCTGCACCTGTTTGGCCACAGCAGGGGGTCGGACTAGATGATCTCCTCAGGTCCCTTCTGACCCTACCAACTATGAATGTTCTCGTGGCAGTCTGTCTGGGGAAGCGTGTGCCGTGGGATTCCCGCAGGATGGGGCAGACGCCGTTCTTACTCCTCTTCTTGCCCTCACTTGCAGTGGCTCAGCTGGTGCGCGGGTTCATTGGCAGAGAGGAATTTCAAACGGTTCCAACCGCTGCTTGCCAACTGGTCGCAGGCCAGAAGTTCTGATTGGTTGTGGAGGGGCCACGGCTTTACAATGCACAATTCTGATTGGTGCTGAGAGGCTCGGCCCTCCGGAAGAGAGTTCTGATTGGCTGAAGAGGGGTGATTTATGGGCTGCCATCAGTTCTCACTTTGGCCTTCTGCTTGGAGCTGCTTTTGGCATCAAGATGGCCGTTCGTAGGAGGGACGCCTGTGTGTGGGGTGCCCAGGATGAGTCTCTGCGGGAAGGGGTTGGGGACACAGGGATGTTGGGTGGGTCCCCTTGTTGGACAGAGATGGGATCAAGGAAGCGCTCTCACTGATTCCTGCCATGTGCGGCTAGGGAGATGGTACCAGTGGGGGAGTCTACCTTGAGGTCAAGTATGAGCATCCTGAATGACTCTGACCAGATGGAAGGGAAGATCATAGCAGCATCTGATGAGCCCCTTCAAACCACAGGGGCAGCAGGTGATGTGGAGAGCTCGAGCTGCTCCCTGCAGGGGGGTCAATGGGTAGCAGCACCAAGCAAGTCCTCTCAGTGGGAAGAGAAGGACATGGGACACCTTGCCTGGTGCCCTCAGAGGAAGGAAGTGGCATCGGTTGAACCTCTGCAGCGAGGGAAAAGCGAGTCGATGTCTCGGGTCCCAAGGATAAAGGTAGTGGCACTTGCATGCGAAACTCCTCTGGATGTGGAGGAAATGAAGGCTCGTGGCAAGTCCCCTCAAAACGGGAGGGAAGCAGCTGGGGTGAATTTCCCATCCAGGCTAGTGCCGTTGGCAGCTTTTCTCCCGGACCTGCTGGTATATAATGATGATTGCTCTGATCAACGGACACTGCCCTCCATAGAGACCTTCAACGGGGTCTTGCTTTGTGCAGAGATTACAGGTAAGGGAACTGGGAGTGCCTGTACCAAAGCTTTGCCTGTACTTTCTGGAGAGGGGCACCTGTTAGCATCTCAGCTGGTCAGCAGCCCGAAGGGCATTCTGCCTTGTGTTCTCACTTCTCAGCTTTGTTCTCAGTAAACTTAGCTCTGTCCTTGAATCTTATTTATGCAGGTTCCTATGCACATTTGTCACTGAAAAGATTTCCCCTTGGTTATCATCCTCTGCCAGGTGCGTGAGTGAGCTTCAAGCTTTGGTGGCCCAATCCCCTTGTATGTCCTATATGCAAAACTGTTGCTGGCCTTGTAAAACTAGCTGTAAAGGGTCTCCTGAGTTTTCAGTGCATTTCTTCTAAATTCCACAGCATGCCGAGAGGGTTTTGCTCTAATTAAACAGGAAGGTGCAAATTGGTTTAACATCATGATTGGAGATGAGACTGGTGCTTTCAGTCTAGGAGTCGGTGGGTGTTAATCCTCCCACAGTGCCGTCACAAGGATAAGAATAACAATAGAGCCCATAAGAATGCCACAGCTTGGAATAGCAGTAGCATTGCAAACCAGAAGCAAGATGTATGCAGATCTTTACAAAGCACTGTCAGCGTCTCCTCCCATACGTACCAAATTCACCATAAATCTCCTTTGTTTGAATTTGTACTGGAAAGTATTTTACTGCAGTATCTGAGACCTGCCTTGCCCTTTATCATTTTATGGGCATCTGCTTAGTATCTTTTTGGAACAACAATAAAGGCGCACTCTCTTTTGACAATTTGGCTTTCTGTTTTGGTTTGCCGTAGGATTCACTGCTCTCCATGAAAAGCTATGGAGGATTAGTGGGACACAATGGCTACAATGCAGTGATACATTCAATCATTTCATAAGACATCTGTTGCAGAGTAAGTATGATCCTAGGTTTAGATGGAGCAAGAAATTAACTGCTTAGGGCTACCTTGGAATAAGAAATGGAGACCCAACCTGGGTTTACCAAACTGATGTTCTTTTCAGGAATCCTGGTCCTCCTTGTAAGGCTGGTTCTCCAGGTGGGAATTCTGCCCCCCTGAGCCCTCTTTAGGATAAAGTATTCACTCAACTCCCTGTTAAGATAGTTCTAACTAACTATACTGAAGTTTCTGATCTGGACCAGCGAGTCTTAGTACTACCAAAGTTAAATATTCAAGATTTTCCCCACTGGGTCTTTCTGGAAATGAGGTTCTTCCTTTTATGCCCCCCCCACGGTTATGCAGTCTTACTGTGCATTATAAAATTGTTCTATCACAGTGATGCTGAAGTCATTGTGTACGCCTACATTGTGCAAAGCTCTTTGGATGAAAGCAGCTGTGTGAAGGAGGCATTATTCTCTTCTCATTTGTTTTCTCTATTTCTCAGGTGTGCTTCTTTATGGAGGTGACATCTTGAACTTTACAGGTATTCATTGCTTTGAACTATGCCTTTGAAAGAGCATCAGTAGCTATTATTTATAGCCAGATTTTTGGCAAAGCTCCCATTAACTTTAGTGGGATATTTCCAGCTGGTGTTATGTGGAACCTAAGACAAGTGAGAAGAGCAAGATCGGTCTCAATCTACCATTGTGTTCTGCCCTGTCTCCTGCAGGGGATGTGTTACTGGTGCTCTGGAAAGCAAGCCGAAGCCAACTGAGTAACATCATCACGCTAGTAGCAGAATACAGTTTGAGTTTGCAGCGGTGGTTTGAATACACCTGCAGCAGAGTGGGCTTGGAGCTCCAGCTGAAGATTGGTACCTATACCAGATGCCAGAAATACATGCTAGCCATTTGGGTCCCAAAGAAGCATACATCTAACCCATTTTTCTTCTCTTCAGGGCTGTCTGCAGGTCACATTTCTCAGCTAATTGTTGGGGATGAGAAGCGTCAGTATTCGCTGGTGACTGGCCAGCAGGTAGACGATGCATGGCTTGCGCAAAGCCTAGCAGAGACTGGGGAGGTGATTCTCTCACCAAACTGCTGGGAGCTGTGTAAACAGGATATTTTAGAAGCAAAAAAGATCCCAGGCCAAAAAGCTGTGAAGGTAGGAGCTCCCTTAATACTTCTATCCATGGCTCTTTTATAAGTGAGGTGCATCATCTGGTCCTCCTTCCAAGCCCATTGAAATCAATAGAGAAAAACACTCATTAACTTCAGAAAGCTTTGAATCAAAAAATATCAGACTGGCTTGTGTACATAGGGGTTCCCTTTTCAAGGTTAGCTAGTTACAACTGTTTCTATATCTTGCTTGGCAAGAACCTGTGCATTTGGAAATTTTAAGTTCTCTTGCCTTGTGCAGTGCTAAGCGTGTGCAACCTTAAATTGCTCCAGGATGTCTTCTCTCTGCAGGAAATCCAGAGGTGGCAAAAACAGCGCTTCTGAGCAGTGATATGTTTATTGTGTTGGCTAGCTATACTTTCCTGATGGATGATCATTCTAAAATCCATTGGTCTGACTTCTGGAAGAGCCGAGCACCTGCAGATCCCATTGACATCAGTGGGAGTGGGAGGCTCTCAGTACTTTGGACAATACATATGTTCTACTGGGTTGAATATAGCAAGGAAGTTTCGCATATGTGGGAATAGTTGAGTGAATCTGGGGATCAGTATATGTGAGGCAACCATAGTGAAGGATGATATGTAGGGGATTCTAGCTTCTGTTCATGCCTGTTCTATTGAGAAGACTTCTGGGTGGATTGGAAATTACACTTTGCCTACAATTTAATTTTTCTCAGTTGAGGTATGTGAAGATCCTGCATCAAGATTATTCTTGCCACTATGAAAAGTGGATCAGCAGTCCACGAAAATTTTCATGCAATGGAGGTGAGCTTCCCATATCCAGCTTCTGAGCTAGCAAGAACACAAGGTCCCTGGAAGAAGAGCAAGATGTCTTTTATTTATTGTTTTTTTTTTCCTCTTGATAATGTGAAGCATTATTTCCTTTCCTAGTCCTGATGAGAAATGCCTCGATACTGTCTTCCAATTATGAGCATGAAAAGGCCTTACGGAGGTTTGTGGTGGGAAATATTCTGGAAAAGGTAAGACATACTTGTTCAGATAGACACAAGTCCCACCACAAACAGTGAGGCAGAGTTAAAATCCCAGGCACGTGAAAGGGTTCAGTTGCTTCCCTGAATTTCTCTGTCTTCCAGATTGATAACAATCAGCCACTGAAGTTTTTCTCTGAGCTTCGGCCATTAACCATTGTTTTTGTCAAACTGCAATTTTATGAGAGCACAAAAATGCCAGGGTTGTGCAAATCAATCCAGGAAGCCACTGTGCACATTTCTGGTACCATAGAGAGCTCACGGGGCAAAATTCTCAAAATCTCCACATTTGGCAAAGTGAGTACAATGAAGCTCCCCAGCTGTAGGCCGTACAAACTGATAGTACTAAAGATCTCTGTAGAAGCTAGGGAGAGACATGCTGCAAATCTGGCAAGGAAAGGCCTGTCTAGGTACCCAGCAGCCTGGGAAATTCTCACAGTAGTATCTGCTTGAGAGTAAGAAACACCTGAGGTTTGTGAAGCAAAGGGAGATAAGTACATGGTACTTTGAGGCAGTACTTTTTATTGTTCATTTATCTCATAGAAGCAGGTAGGAGCATCAAGTTAGATTTGGGAATCATTTGTGCTAGATGTTGGGCATACAGATAGTAAGATGCTGTCCTAGTCTAAGGAGCAACCAGTTAAATTATACAAGGGAAGGGAGGAAAGAAATATCCATCCCTATTTTTTTTTTTAAATAAATGGGCAGCTGAGGAGCAGAGAGAGATGCAATAACTTGCCCAAAGTCATACAGGAGATTTGGCAGGGTTGGGATTTGAATCTAGATCTCCTGAGTCTTGGCCTAGCCTATTTAATCGCCAGAACATCCATTTTCTCATCTCCATTGGTTTCTGACTTCTTTGTGAGCATATGCGCAATACGCCATTTTAATAGCTCATTAGAATGCAAATTAATTGGAATTTGAGAGAGACCCTGATACTTGTACTAGTGCAAGGCACAACTGGTTTAATTTTTTTTAGCATATCCTGTTAACCTACTGATCATATGCTAATGGAAACCTCGTCTCTGTTCTCCAAAGCAGTGCTGCACATTTCTGTGCGTTTTTGGACTGCCAAGTGATAAAAGGATGGATGAGAGTACTCGGGTCTTAGATACTGCAATGAGAATCTCTGATCTCTTCTCTGAAAATCACATGAAACTCAAGTAAGTGCATGGGTCATTAGCAGGGATTCAGCTCATCACCGTCAGCACTACAGGACAAATGTCTGTCATTTGAGTTGGTGGAGGAACCCTGTTAGCTGGCAGCAGTAGTTGGTTGTTATCTTCTGGGGAGACTAGCTATCTTAGTGGTTAATGACATTTTCTTTGTGGTGGGTTGCCCAAGAAACATCACATCATGCTAAAGAAAAGCACAGGTTCTCCTATGATGACGGTTGGGGGATGTTCGAGGACAAATTTGTGGTAGGAGAGAAAGGTGATGTACAACTTTGAGGAACTTTGGGTCCCCTTTCTGCCTTATCTTTTAAGTCTGTTTTCAAGCTAATTTAATTTAGTCTATTTTCTCCAAGTTCAACTTCTGTCCAAGGTGCTGTTGTATGTCAACTGCCAGGACTTTAGTTTTAGGGGAAAAGGTTCATTTGTTTTAACCTCCCATTGTGAATGGCACTGACTGTTTTCTGAGCAAACAGGGCTTGGTTAAGTGGAGCTGTGTAGCGCTGCTGGAGGTCTTGGATAGTGACAACATCACTCATGCTTGGAATAAAAATAACGAGGCAGCATCTGAAAATAAATATATTAGGGACATATGAATTACCGGACTTATGAATGGCCTGTCCATTTTTTTTATATCCACAAATAGCACCATTTGCTTCAGAGGATTGTGCAAGAAACCCCGCGATGCTGAAATAGTCTGTCCCAGAAAGAAAACTTTTCTACCCCCTGCTAAATTGCCTTGTATTATGATATATGAACATTTGCATCTTAAGTAAAATCCCTGGGGATTTTTCAAACCTTGCGGTTGTAGCTCTGAATGTTCTCTTGGTGTTTTGTAAGAGAAATAATCGATTACTGCTTGGGAAAAGATTGCTCCAGTGTCACGACATCTCTGGTCTCCAACAAACAGGGGGTCTGAAACCACATCTGCTCCAAGATCAGCACATGATAATAGTGATTGAAATCATTGGAGTGTTGGTTAGTTGATAAAGGAGGCAATCCTATTTATAAGAGCCCTAAATAGTAGTGGCAAGTCCCGTAGTGGCCTTAGATCACTAATAAAACATGAAGAGGGAAAAAGATTCAGCTATTGTTGGGTGTTTTGGCAAGACAGAATCAATGGGACTGCTTTGGCTGTATTTCAGGCTTGTTTCCATTGGGATTACAAGTGGACAAGTGTTTTGTGGAGTGGTTGGCCATCCTTCTAGACACGACTACACAGGTACGATAGAGCTCTGTTGTGTCACCTGTGCGTGCATAGGGATTCATGAGCTCTCTCACTGCCTTTCCCTGTGCTCTCTTGCTAGTTGTTGGCTCAAAGGTACAGATGGCTGCCAGGATGCTGATGCTGTATCCGGGGCTGATAGCCTGTGATGAAGTGACTTATTCAAAATCTGGGCTGCCCAGCCGTTTCTTTAAAAAGCTTCCAGACAAGGAGATGAATGATGCTGTGACCTCTGAAGTCATGTATGAATATCTTGGCAGAAAGAAAAACCCGTAAGCTGCAGCTGTGGGTTCTTTTCACTACAAAGCAAGGGAGAGGAGCAAACTTTCTTTAACCCCTGGAAGCCTGAAAACAGGTGTCAGGAGGTTGTGACCATCCTGCGTTTGCCATTTGTGGCAGGGGGGTGGGTGGGAAAAAGATGTGTCCTGGCTTGATCCCAGCTAAATGGCAGCCATGCCAGTATGGAAAAGGGTCCTGATAAGGAAGATGCTGAAAAGCACAGGTCTTACCCGAGCCACAGTCTCAAGTATTCTCTGGCTCTCCTGCATTTTCATTGGGATTAAGAATGGATTGCCAACGCATGAGCCTATCAAGCTCTTCTGCCTACTTGGAGGTGAAGAGAAGAGCCTTATAGCCCTTCTTGATAGTCTCTCTTCTGTTTTCATTTATTTTCCAGTGTAAAATCATCCAGACTAGGTTAATTCTTCCTTTTCTGCCCCCTCTCCTTTTAGAATGGTTGCGAAGTCGGGCTTTACCAAGGAGAGAGATGCAAATCAACCCTTACTAGGTAAGTGAATAATAGGTTCTCACAGCTTTAATAGCATGCAAAATATTCCCCAAGGTGAGGAAGGAGGAAAGGATGTAAATAAAAAAGGGAGTTTCTACTGACTAGCACAGGGGTGGGCAAAATGTGGCCCGAGGGCCAGATGCAGCCCACCAGGCCATTCTATCCAGCCCACAGGGCCCTTAAAAAAATTTAGAAAATTAATATTTATCTGCCCTGGGCTGCCTGTCATGAGGCCCACGATGACTTGCCAAAACTCAGTAAGTGGCCCTCTGCCCAAAATAATTGCCTGCCCCTGGACTAGCACCAGGAAAAGTCATATCCATACGTTTGTGTTTAAAGCAAAAGTTTATTTCTGATTTTCACTACCACCCATTGTCAGATGTCCACAGTTCAGCCATCCCCATCTGCAGTGGTGGGGGTGTTGGCTAGCAGACAGGTGGCTTGCAAAGCACCCTTGCTTCAAACAGAGGTGGTGATACAAGGGCCTATAATGTGAGAGAGTCACAAGCTTGCACCTCTGGCTGATGGCACGGCCTTGTATTGCCATGCCAAAAAAAAAACCAGAACTCAGATCTCTAAGCCAGGAGCATCTGGGAAAACTGAGAAAGGATTTGCTTAGGCCCCAAGCATGAAAAGAGTGTTTATTTTCTCTGGTATCTCTTGAGCAATGCCTAGATGGCTGATGCATAAGGGAATTTCAGACAGCTGCTTCTAGTCCTGTTGGGTTGGAAGAAACAATTTACCACTTACAAAATACATTTCTTTTGGAAGGTCGAGAGACCGAGATCACAACTTTCTGGACCACGCTGCGGTTATTTTTGAGATGCAAAGAAGGCCACGTTTTAGTATATGAAGGAGCGTCAGGCTATGGGAAAAGCCGACTACTTGCTGAAATAAACTACTCAGCCCAGAAGGACAATCACAGGTTAATTCTCTAAATTTTAGCAACTGCTTCTATTCCAATTGCCAACTTCTGCAATAGCTCCTCATCCCTTGTTTGAAGTGTGCTACACCTAATATATTCCTTACCCTAATGCAGAGTCTTATTGACAGGAACTCAGAGGTATATGTAAATCACAAGTGCAACTGTTTTAGTCTTTGAGGGGGAAGGCATTTACTAGGGTGGCTTTCATATTTATCAGAATCTCTTCACCGCAACCACTCAGCCACAAAGCCAGATCAGCCCTTTCAATGGCTAAGGCTATCATAAATGATAGTTGCAGTGCAAATTTTTTATAAAACCATCACAGCCATTCAGTGTAACTACGTAGTGGCTCTCAGCAGAAATGCAAGGTCAAATTTTCAGCATTTGAATGTATGTCCAGCATGTAATGTTATGCGAAAACCTTCACTGGTTCACAACTGAGGTATCAGTTCTGGATATAACAACCCTATTCCCTGTAGTTACAGTAAGGGAGGATTAGTCAGCTCCCAGCCACGACAGAGATCCTTTTGTGTGACCATCTGTATCAACAGTTACATTAACTCGGTTCCTTTCCATTTGCTGTGGCTGTTTCTGCTCCCTGCCCCTGTGTTGGCAAAAACCAGCCACAAGAGGTGGGGCATATTTTAAATCAAGATTGGGTGTTTTTTCAGAAAGCTATGCAATAAATAGCTCAAACAAAAATTATAAGCTTGATACAAAAAATCACTGGGTGAGCTTCTCTGGTTAGGAGGTTAGAGTAATTAAGTCTATTCTAGCCTTAAAATTTATGAATTGCTATCATCATCAAATCCTATGCTGTGTTACGTGCATATCCTTAAGAGATGCCCCCTGCTGCCTGTTCAATGTGGGTTCTAGATGATGTGCCTATCAGTGAAATGACTAATCAACGTTGGAAGCAGGCCTTTTTGAAGTAGCTTGATAAGATGCTTAGAGGAAGCTTTATAAAACCAGGCTTGAAGTCTTATCCATCGTTTTCTTGTACTGTTTTCTCTAACCAGCCACGAGGAGGCATCGGGAACTATAAGGCTGATTCATCTTAGTTTAATAACCAGGAGATGGTTCATAAGCTCACTTGTTAGCCTCGGTGTTTAACATGTGGGCAGAAACCAGATATGGAAGCAGACCTCTTGTATTAAAGATCTCCAAATAGATCTGATTTTTTTTCATTTATAAGATAAGGTAAAACTGGAGCTATAATTGCATACTCTTTCCTAGCATGTTCTCACTGCAGAGAAGATTTTTCTCAGCTACCTTCCTATTTAACACAGGGTGACATGTCTAGAGCTAACCAAAGTAGATATCCAGGAGTCTTTCAGTGCCGTCTGGTCACTTATGGCTATATTCTTTGGGATCAGTGCCTGTAGACCTTACAACAGAAAAGATGTCCTTCAGAGCAAACTCACTGGCTTGGTGGACGAGAACCTCTACTGCCTCCTGAATGATCAGTTCCTTGTGAAGGTAATGGGGAAACAATTTGCTGTCTGGGACATAATCCTGTGTGCATAAGCAGGTTACAAGAATAGACTTCTGTTTATTTCTTCATTTTGCTCTGTGCTGCTTATGTCTTTCCCCTGGCTCTGAATTTATCTAGCAGAAAGCACTATTTAAAATAAAGCTAGGAAAAGAGCGAATTTGTCATGTTACACCAGAAATTTCTTCTTCATCAGACTGATGTTAGTGTGCATTACTTTTAAGCCTGCAGCTGCTGTTGCTAAATACCCTTTCTCTTCCTGACCAGTTCCCCATGTCAGCTGAGGCTGCTCACATGAGTAATGAGACAAAGCAACAAGAAGTAGAAAAGCTTTTCCTCAAAGTCCTGCAGAAGGTGAGTGAGCCCCATCACTGTGGAAATGGAAGGAACAGATGCCTCAGACTAGGCACAAGGGACATGTTAGACTTGAAGGTGTTATGCTGTTCCCCGTGGTAGATTTTTTTTTATAGTTGGGACTGAATCTGGGGTTGTGGATCTAAAAGCATAAAATTCTACTGCATAAAACTAAAGAGCCAGCTGTCAGCTAGGCCTGCAGCAGGTTTGTCCCCATCTGTCTGTGGCCTTGACACTACTAGGAGGCAGGCAGAGTGAAACCTGAACTAGGCTATAGGCAGTGTTAGCAATCAGCTACCTTTTAAGGGATTCTAATAGCCATCCACCCAGGCCACCTTCCCCAAGAACTCCGCAAGATCCCCTGAAGCTGAGGTGCTCAGTGATGGTTGCTCCTGACTTGGGAGGGATTTTCAAAAGTACCTATGTGATTTAGGAGCACGCGTTCTATGAAAAAAGATCATTGAGATTTGTGCTCCTCAATCAGCTGGGGTGTCAATCAGCTGGATGCATTCAAAGTCCCATCCATGGTTCCATACAGAACTGTCCAGATTTTCCATCTTGAGTCTTTGTATCTTTGGTGGGGAATTCGTGTCCCCACAAGGTAAAGGCTGGTTTAGCAATGAAGCAGCAGATTCTCGGGGGTTTAACTGGACCTCAGCATCGACTTCAATGGACCTATACTGACAGCTGGTGAATTAGCCCATTAAGTTTTAACTTTTGGGTTCCACTGGGGCAGGGGAAGAGATTTTGATTTGAGGTGGAAGATGATGGCAATTAATAAATAAACCTGAGGCACATCTCTGTCTTTCTCTGTTCTCTTCTTCTCTCAGCTTGAAGTGTGGCTTAACATGGTCATCCCCTTCTTTTCTTCTCCAGGCAGCAAAGGAAACAACCCTCATTTTTATCATTGATGAAGCTCATTACATTGATCCTGCCTCATGGGACTTTTTGGCACATCTCCTCTCGCATGTCCCTGTCTTGATAGTCATGTCATTGGTTCCTTTCCCTTCTAAGCAGCTCATCCCCTGCTTTTCTGCAAAAAGTATTTTGAAGAGCCCCAAGACCACTACTGTTGTCCTCTGCGAGCTGAAACTTTCCCTGATCCTAGAGATGGCCTGTCAGGTCCTGGGAGTGATCAGCATCCCCCAAGAGCTGAAAATGCAAGTGTCTTTTTCTATCTAGATTTGGGAAGGGGAGGAATGGGGTGGTAAATCCACAAGGACATCACAAAGCTGATGATCCATGAAAGCAGAAAGGGCCATGCCATCTGATGGCCAGTGGGAATAGCCTCTACCCATTACATATTGTTTGATTACAAAGGCATTCAGCTCTTTCCAACAGTAACTTAAGCATTGGACATGAATACAGATAAATCCCTTGGCTTTGCTCCATGTTCCTGTTCTGTCTTCCTGCTATTTACCAGATTGGCTGCACATGATTTAAGGAGGGAATTGCAAAGGGAATTTCCAGGCAATTTAAACTATTTAAAATCCTAAATGGATTACACGTGCAAGGGATTATGTGGTTTGCCCTATGCCACATAGCAGACGATGGTAACGTTGGGAATATAACCCTGGTGTCTTTACACTTCTGTTTAAAATATGCCTTTGTATTATTCTTTGTGTGGGATCCACTTAAGGAAGTCATTTAAGCACTTGCTCCCCTTTAATGATTACTTCAATTTCACTGTCTTCTGTGGAGCTAAGCAGAAATTTAAAGCGACACATGGGTTATGGGTGTACCTGAATCAGGCCCAGGGACAAGAATCTGCTGGAGTATAAAAAATACTTAAAGCTCTCCTTGTGTGTTTAACTTTTTCAATTTGTCATCTAACACAGACATGCTATTTGGGGCAGTCCTTAATCTGGAGAGCACTTCCTGTCTTGGTCATTCCCATCATGCCTGGGCCAATCAGATAGTCCAGGATGTTAGTTTTTATTGCTCATTTCTCTTTTCTGATAAATGGTGAATCATGAACAGAAAAAAAATGCCAAACCAAGTCAACTAAATATTAATGCATGAAGTGTGTTAATGAGAAGATGCTTACATTAGGAATTGAGGACTTTTAAAATATTTTCTTAAGGTTCCTTATACAAAGAAGCTTTGGGGTCCCTCTCTACTGTGAGGAGTTATCGGTGAATCTCATTGCCAGTGATGTTCTTCAGATCTGTCACATCCCAGATGAGGAAAAAGAAGAAAACAAGTGGTCTAACCTGTCTGGTAAGATACTCAAATGCCATAACTCTATTCCTAGCCAGCAGGCTCAGACTTCTTGCCTACGTCCCCGTTTTATATTATCTAGACCTTTCAGAGGCTTGGACTGGATGGGTAGGTGGTGCCTAGTGAAACAGAAAGCCTTTCACTTCTGTGTCACTAGCTCAAATCTAGCCAAGCAGCCAGAAGGTGTTGCTGTCACAGGTGTGACAGATGTTAATCAGGCCACTTGATATGCTATTGAAGGCACTCAAACATAGTAAACAGTCTCAGAACCTATGTAGAATAGGATTTGTTGTGTCCTATTCAGCTTGTAGTCTGAATGTCTCCTAACTGAGGCTCAGCAAAATGGTTTTGGCACAAAGGCAGCTTTTTGAAATCATCACACCATCAGTTTCTGGCTATTTTTTAACACTAATTCTCATAACGTTTCACCCAGCTACAAGTAACAGTACATTTGGTCCTCTCTATCTTTGTTTCAGCCTTCTTCTAGGTCAGTACAGGTGTCATTCTCAATGAAGGGGGCATAATAGATGATGCAACGGAGCTGTTTAGTAATATGAACTCTCTACCAGAGAGAGAAAAATGGTCCTCTTACTGTTTACTATTGCTGGTGTCATTATTTGAGGGGCGGTAGCTTGTAAGAAGAAACAAATGGCATTTCAGCAAAGGCTACTGGGGTGGGGCGGCTTTTTGTGAAATTAAACTGGCTCCAGGCCTATCAGTCTATGTGCTGTTTGAGTGCTTGCAGTTTCCATTTTGTGGCTGGTAGAAGAAATGCAGAGCAAAGAAAGACAAGTTTGTTCTAGATCACTGTAATAAGATAAATAGACCAATGCATGTTCTACAGCTCTGCTTACTTCATAGTTTCACAGTACTTCATAGTTCCAACTGTGCCATTGTAGCATGCTGCTATACAATTTCTTCTCCCCCTGCAGTCATTGCCATCACATCGATACCATACAAAGTGCCTCTTGTCAAGGAGAGAGAGCTTTACACCTGTAGAGTCAAGAAAGGTGTCAACTTGGATACCATACTGCTCCCACCGAGGCTGAAGGGTGAGCAACAGGTCTGGGGTACTCCTTGCATACGCTTCCAAAGACAAATGACACAGGGGCTGTAGCACAGTGAAATCTGGAGCTCAACATGGTGGGGGGGAGGGGCACAAAAACTGCATCGGAAAGTCTGTGGACTCTGCTAGACAAGCCAACATGCAGCTTTCTATAAAGGATGTATGATTCAAATGGAACTCTATGGAACTCTTTTCCCTTACCTGCCTTCTCTTGGCACTGTTGTGTTCTTGGGGTACGGTCTGGGTGCCCTGCAGTATCCTTGCAAGACAGGGAAATGCTATCATCCACATCTTAAGGACCGGAAAGTGATTCAATGACCTGCCAAGGCTGCACACAGCCTACGGCAGAGCTGGGAACTGAGTCCCAGGCTAGTTTCCCAAGCCCTGGACTTCCCTTCCACCCCCTAAGGAAATGTCTTGAAATATCTCTTGGGTCGTCAGTCTGCTTAGTGTTATTTCTCATTCTAGCAAAGTAGCAATGCAGGTGGTGATGAGCAGCAGCCCCTTTCCATTAACACTGACTAAAACAACCTTTCAGGGAGATTTCATTCCCCAGCTCCTTGCACCTCATGTATTCCTTCTACAGCCATTTCACTCGCATGTCTCTGACCAGTTCCAGGTGGGTTGGATCAAGGCTCCAGGGATTTGTCTGAGGTACTCAAACAGTCCATATTGCTATTGCCACATATCCAAGTTCCTTGCTCTCTTTAATGTCTCACAGCATCCCCACTCCCCTGGTATAAAAGAGCTCTGCTGTCCCCAACTGAAAGATGGGTAATTCAGAAACAGGGGCCATGTCTACATGAGACACTGACTGCGCAGTTGCTACTGTGCAGTCATTAAATACTACTTGCAGACCCAAGTACTAAACAACTGTGCCATAACTGGCATTACTGCCCAGTAGTGTCCCCACATAGCTCCATGGTGACATTGACTGTGCAGTAGCTCATTACTACTGTGCAGTAGTGTTGTGTTACAGTTTGTGCCTCATGACACTACTGGACAGTAGTAATGAGCTACTGTGTAGTAAGCGTCTCGTGTAGACACAGCCAGGCAGACTGAAGTGCCTCCTCCCTTAGGCCTCATAGGAAATCTGGTGGAGAATTGAACCCAGGTCTCCTGAGTGATAGGCATTATCTAAGTACATGCCAAAATGAACTTGAAAAATCATTTACAATGTACCTTAAATCAATTCACAGCAGATGATTACACAGTCTGGTGGGTGGCAAATTGGCTTGGGGGTCACACTCAGAGAGTGGTAGTAGATGGGTCGGTATCGACCTGAAAGGATTTGGGCAGTGGGGTCCTGCAGGGCTCGGTCCTTGGACCTGTGCTCTTCAATGTCTTTATCAGTGACTTGGATGTGGGCATGAAGTGTACTCTGTCCAAGTTTGCGGATGATATTAAATTGTGGGGTGAAGTGAACACACTGGAGGATAGGGAATGATTGCAGGCAGACCTGGACAGGTTAGAAAAGTGGGCAGTACACAGTAGGATGCAGTTCAACAAGGACAGATGCAGAGTGCTACACTTAGGGTGTAAAAATATCCAGCACACCTCCTGGCTGGGAAGTGACCGTCTCAGCAGCACAGAAGTGGAAAGGGATCTTAGAGTTATAGTGAACTCCAAGACGAACATGAGTCATCAGTGTGACAAAATCATCAGGAAAGCTAACTGCACTTTATCATGCATCAGCACATGCATGACAAATAGAACCAAGGAGGTGATACTTCCCCTCTATGCGGCATTGGCCAGACCACAGTTGGAGTCCTGCGTCCAGTTTTGGGCGCCGTACTTTAAGAAGGATGTGGATAACCTTGGGGTGGGGTGGGGTCCAGAGGAGGCCACTCATATGGTTAAGGGTTTGCAGGCCAAGCCCTAGGAGGAGAGACTGAGGGACCTGGATCTTTTCAGCCTCTGCAAGAGAAGGCTGAGAGGTAATCTTGTGGCCACCTACAAATTCATTAGGGGGGTGCAGCAAGGAACCAGAGATGCTCTGTTCACCAGGGCACCTCTTGGGATAATAAGGAACAATGGTCACAAACTGATAGAGAACAGATTTAGGCTAGACATCAGGAAGAACTTCTTCACGGTAAGGGTGGCCGGAATTTGGAATGGGCTTCCAAGGGAGGTGGTGCTCTCCCCTACCTTGGGGGTCTTTAAGAAAAGGCTGGATAGTCATCTGACTGGGGTCATCTGACCCCAGCGCCCTTTCCTGCCCAGGGAAGGGGGTCGGATTCGATGTTCTGTTGAGGTCCCTTCTGACCCTAGCATCTATGAATTCAAGCCCAGTACATAATTTCGCTCTGGAAATTCCTTTGAATGCTTTAGGTAAGGGTAAGCAAGCACATTTTCCTGAGGCAGGGAGGAAGTTCCTTGAGTGCTTTACTTCATAAAGAGGGGTCTGGGAACTCAGACAGGACTTCTGCACCTGAGTTGGACTTGGTTTATGCTGCCGCTGACCAACTATGAGCATATGATGTTCTCTGAAAACCCGCAGATGAGAGGAGGGCTGGAATCCTAGACTCACGCCTCCCCTTACACAGGAGTTATTTATCGCACAGAACAACTATCACCATAGGCCGGAATGGGCAGGCTCCCACATAGTGTGAATTTTTAGCTTTACCTGCCTTTGCTTATTAGAGACCAAGCTTCAGGCCTGGTTCACTTTTGCCAGTCGCTGAAGTCAATGGAGTTTTCTCAGTGTAAAAATAAGTGAGAACAGGCGAGTCACTGTTTAGGATGTTCTACAGAGAGATATGGTGGCTGAATAGTGTGCTGCACACAGATATAATAATAGCAGATAGTTAGTTATCTGTTGATTCTCTATGTTTACAGAGATTGCTGTGCTCCAGCTGGACAGCTTCAGCCCTTCTGAGCAGATACTGGTTAAATGTGCAGCTGTCATTGGCCATATCTTTACTGTGGAGCTGCTGCTCTTCATCTTTCCGGCATGGACAAGTGAGAAAATGGAGAATACCCTCAGGACCCTGATAAATTCCCGTGTATTTGAGTTTGTAGGAAAAAAGAGAGGCTGGGAACACTTACGCACACATCTGGGTTCCCCGGTGACACGAACAATGGGATCAGATATAGCTGAAGGTAAGCAGGGCTTTTATTTCTAGTTTTCTTGGGAACGTTTTTGCAGTGCTTTGTTCATCTCTCTTTGGGCCCTATGCTGGCACCAGTAAGTAAAAGAGACTATTTTGTGCCTGGTCTAGGACTCAGTGAAATCAATGGAGCCTGGATGAATCCCTGCTCACATATAATTTCAGTAGTCACTGACCAGCTCAAGTGACCCCTTTTTTATCTTCCTTTTCCGTGTTTATGGGAGTGGGGAAATTGCACTGAGAATCCTCAGAGTTGTGCATGAGGATCTGCAACCGTCTGGATACACTCACATCAGGGGCTGTAGCACTTCTGGAAACAAGTAGAAAAAATCCTGGTTTCCTCAGGCTTCCATCCATCATCATGTAATGGTGCCGGAAGAACAGCCAGTCTGGGTGGCTTTCAGTGAAAGAGATTTTAAGCCAGTGGCATGATGGAGAAATACTTGTTGCTTTCCAGATATTGGAGCTGCTGTTCACTTCGGTCTGAAAAACCAGGGGAGGGCTCTGAGATTCTGTGCTCCCCTTCTACGGGAAGGAGCCTATGAGCTACTGCTAGAAGATCAGAAGAGGGCCTTGCATGACAGATGCACCGTCTTTCTAGACTGTAAAGCTCACAAATGTAACAGCTGTGGTGGAGGGGACTTTATTTCCTTACTTCCTTTACACTGCAATGTAGACTTATCCTTATGGGGACCAGGCAGTGAGAATAAGGACAAGGTGCTGCTGGTTCCTGAAGAGAATCTGAAGAGGCTTGAAGCTCTTCATGCACAAGGTAAATATTGAAATCCAGAAGGTTAGCACTTCAGAAATGTCACAGTGGGATAGATGACATGTTGAAGGGCACTGTGTTGTAGAGTGATGCATGTCTAGAGATGGTAACTCATGCCAGTGCATTAGATTATCCTATAAAAAGAGACGATACCTGCAGTACCCTGGCGCATAAAACTTCAATGTATTGAGTGACTGGTAGTCTCGTGACATGTCAAGTCTTACATCCTGTAAGGTGCTGCTTCTCTATCTGAAATCTCCAGTTTCCAGAACTCTGCAAGTGAGTTCCCTACCTTTGTCAAACAAAAGAAAGCTGGAAGACCTGAACCTCCAGCTAACCTTCCAACTATGATCCTTCTTAGATGGCCAGTATAGAGCTCAGTCATCCACTGGCTGACTGCACCAGGCTCATGGCGAGTTTATAATGTCCTAAATATCCAAAAGGTCCCCATACATAGGTCAGTCTTGGAGGCAGCTCCATGGCTGAGTGTAATGTAATGGGATGGAGTGGACAGTCGGTGCTTCTTGAACATATTTACCAGATGCACAGATAAGTATAAAGATAATTGTTTGCAATAGGGAGACCTGATTCCTAGCAAAACTTCAGTCACTGTTACAGCAAGAAAGTGTCTGTATGAAACGTTTCAGATACAGAGGAGTTCTTTATCTTTTCTATTACAGGTCAGGAAACTGAACATTCAGGTTGTGTAGTAGAGAGGACTGATGTCTCCCTCAGGGAGGAGCTCACCGTAGACGCTCCTGCAGCCTTGCATGAAGGTAGAATCCCCTTGCTCAGGCAGACAGAACAACAATTTGTGTAGAAAGACATGTATTAACTTTTCTATTGTCATTTAGCTGTTTGCATGGCTCCCATTATCATGAGATCTGAGAACCTCATGATCTTAACCAGACTGATGCTGCACAAATGAAGAACAAAAGGATTAAGTAACTTTTCTGTGGCTAAACAGGGAATTGAACATGGGTGTCTAGGATCTCAGACTAGTACCTTAGCCAATGCACTCGGCCTTCTGCCTCCCTTTCTGTGATTTCAACCATGTTCTTCTGACTTCAACTTCGAATATGAACACTGCTAACCAATGCAGTGGTGAAAAATTAACAGCAAAGTTTGACTTTAGAGGCCAGATCTCTTATCACTTTTATATTTCATCTTTCTCAAAGTATTTTACAGACTTTATAAAGAAATAAGCTATCACTTCATACCTTTCCCTGAGGTGCATTTTACCAGTTATTTAACAGGGTGCAACACAAAAGTAAGTAAAAAAACAAAACAAAACAAAACCCTGTAAGCTAAGTGACCCTAGGAAATAAGAACTGCAGGGAGCCAGAACATGGTTCATTCAGCTTATTTGTTACTCTTGTTGTTACTACTGTTATTTTCATCTTTCTTTTCAGAGAATGTACAGAACAGGGCAAAGTCATTCACGAATAAGCAGGGTTTGCCAGACGATCATCTCAGGTACTGTATGGAGAATCCTGGACCACTTGGATAATCAAAGAACCAGTTCAGTCTTTGGGCTGGCTTGTTTAAGAAACAAGGGCTGGATATCAAGGAATAAAACTTCTTATGTCCAGCCACTCGTTCAGGTCTGCCTCCACTGAGCTCCAATCTAAAGCTCGCTAAGTCAATGGGCAGACTCCTTTTGGCACCGGGAAGCTTTGGATCAGAGCTGTGAAATAAAGTTACTGCTGCTTTTTTCCAAAGGTATTGTGCATCTTCTGAGCCTCAGTCCAGTGCCTTGAGGACAAGAATTTCCTTCCTTTCATGGTTGTATTTTTGGCTACTGAAGATCTTACTTTAATGTGTGTGTGGAGGGGGAGCGGATGTTGGATAATTTAAAGGAAGGGAAATAATTTGTCTATTTAATTTATCATGTGTGCTGGGTATCTCTGCAGTAGGTGGCAACCATGTACTAATATTGGCTACTGAGCTCCTCACCCTCATGAGTTCCACCCAGTAGAATCCACTGGCAATATTAAACTGGGTTGTAGCAACCTCTCCCAGTATCCTCTATTTCCACAGGGTTGAGGAAGAGTTCCTGGACAGAGTGGGTAAGATTCTTGAAGATCATGAAAGGGGGCAAGTGGAAGCCAGGAACCTTGCACCTTGTGAATGTAGAGAGGCTGTGGCATCAGTGGTCTATGCTTTAGCACACCATTACATGATGATGGATGACAGACCCATGGCCTTTTATTATCTCCTGGAGTCTGCAGCTGCTTCCTTATATTTATCCAACAATTACATGGTGAGTTAGCTTCCCTGTATATGAATTCCTGCTTCTCCATTTGACCCAACACTAAAACTGACCCTGGACAAGCTTCTTCTGGCCTCTCAGTAGGGGAATCAGGGGTGTGTGCTCTCATCAAAGAATGGCTCTATCTCACAATATCTTTCTCTGTTTTGAGGCATACTTTTATTTGGAAAAAGCTACCAGCCAGAAGAAAATGCCCGTGTTAAAGATGCTCCCATATCAAAAGATGCACAAATTCAAGGTCAGCCAGTTGGAGGAAGCCATCTTCTGCAGCCTCAAGGGAGAGGTAAGAAGCAAGTTAGACCTTTAAGGAGGTTGTGCAAAGATGCTAAGCTTCCTAAGGGTACTGCCTGTCTCTCCCTAAGAGCTTATTTGTCCCCTGCCCAAACACTTAGGGAACATCATCGGGGCCCCCACACCCCTTTCTCCTTACTGTTGCCGTATTAACAATAATGAAAGAAAAACAGAAGCCCGCTTGGCTTTGTGGTCTAACCACACTCGCTTCCAGTGTTTCCCTCACCAAGGGAGCAGGGAACCACCCCAGTGGGGTCTGGCTGCGCAGCGAGGATTAGCATAGAGCTGTGGTCCAGTGTGTGCTCCCTACCCCCACGCTCCATCTGCTCCTGGCCACTGTCCGGGGAATGCTCTTAGTTCAGCATCTCCTTGCAGAGGCGGATCTTGCCATGATGGACTGTGCTTTCACCTTTCCTCTCTCCTGCAGTGTTATGAGGTGCTCACATATGGCATGGACCACAGAAAGCTGTGTTATCTAAATGTGCAGTCTCACTCTCTCTCTCACCCTGTATCTTGCTAGCTCATTATTCCCTGGTTTTGCAGCTCAATCCCTTTATTTGGACCCCAGTTCAACACTCTTGTTCGAACATACCGAGTATGCCATTCAGTCTCATGCACCTTCCAGGCTCTTTCCCCAAAGTGCAACGATGCAGTGATATCATGGAGTGTTTACCTTGCTCTTTGCTCCCCACACAGGTCTGCTTCAATCTGGGCCAAATCTCATTGGCGAAGAAACTCATTAAGAGGGCCCTCTGCCTCTTGCATAAGGGATTTCCCAGTACCGGGGTTGGAGCCTTCTTCAGATTGTTGCTGGAAGAGTCAAAGCACTTTTCATCTCATGCTCGACAGCGTCAGGCCCAGAACATTGAGTAAGAGGAGGCTCTCGGTTAGATGGGTCTCGGCCTTTGTTCCGTGATGGATATTCATGCACATCACCGTGGAAACTGAATGCAAATAAGCATGATTGGCACTCTCTGTTCAAGAGTGTTTCTAACTGGCCCTGGCACCTTTGCTTGATCTCTTATTATTTAATTAGTGTGCAGTGTTTGAATTGCTGTGATCTCACGGTTAATTCAGTCTTCTCTTGTGTGACAGTGAGAAGGCATTAGCTGTCTTGAAACAGCAGATCCGTTGCCTCTCTTTGCTCTGGAAGCTCTACAGTTTAGATTCTACCTCCAGCAGGAAGTATTCATGGCTGGCAGCCCTGATGGAAATCAATTTGGCAGAGGAGTGTGAGAACCAAGTGCAAGTATGTATTTTATAGTCCAGGTATAGGGGGTATCATTGGGATTAACTCCCAGTGAGGAGGAAACTCCTAGAAAGTTTCGAACAATATCTAAATTTACAATATCTAACCATGTATGGCATGTGGCTAACTTGTGGCAGGAAGTATTTGCTTCCTCACATTGCAGACATTAGATTAGTTGGATAATTAAGCAGGGGTGGGAGGACTTTTTGCAATAGAAGTTATCATTAGACTGAGTCTTGGCAGCACAAAACTTGTCATAATTCATTCTGCTTTGGTGTTTTTTGATCAGAAAAATTAAGTTTTTCTAATGCTCCTCAGTGGGAATTAGATCACCCCTAAGGGTCAATGTAAAACACACCTCCATGTTAGCAGTCCTCTGAGCTACACCCAGCTGCTGGTGCTACATCCAGCTTAGAGCTGTTGCTCTATTTGCTCGAGACACCCAGGCTCTTTTCCTGGCTGACTTGTTGCACTGTATTCCCCTCTGCAGCCTCGTGTTTTCTTTCTGCTGCTTGGTGAATTTCAGTAGAGTGCATTTCCTGTCTTTTTTTTTTTTTTTTTTTTTTTTTTAATGCCTTAGGTCATCTCAACATATATGGATTTTTCACAGTTCTCCCAAAATATGGGTTACAAAGATGAATGGCTGAAATATGAAATGATGGCTATCCAAAGAAGCTTCCAATGCAACTTCACCCTCATCAGGGAGAGGCTGTTAATGACAGCCCAGTTAACTCAGGTGCTGGCTTATAGCAAGCTATGCTTAGGTCATCTGACCCAGTCCATCCAGCTGGGTAAGTCGATTCTGGCCACTTGTTAGTGGTGAAAGTTCCATAGATGTAATCGTTTCATGGGACACAGAGAGAGAGATGCTTTCTTATCTCAACAGGCTTTCAAGCTCATCTCTTGTGTGAGCAGCTCCAGGAAACCAGCCTCCACTACTTGGTTCTTTCTGTTCTCTTCAAAGCTGCACTCCTGAAGAACAAGTATTAGCATAATTTCATTTTGCTGTGTTAACTGGCTAGAGCTGGAATATGCATGTTAGAAAAATAGCTGTATGAAGAGAAAGGGAAGGAGGCAGAGTGAGGTGCCTGCATGAGTGTGGATAGAAAAATAGGGAAGTATAAGAAAGGATGGAGATGAAAGATGGGTCCTGGAAACAGTAAGAAGGAAGGATGCAAATGAGAGGGAAGATGTGGGCTTGTTTTAACCTGCCAGAGAGCAATGGTATGGTAGACAAGCTAGCATGGCTTCTGTTAGACCAGGGCTGATGCAATCATTGTCCTTGAAGTCAGGGTTTCTTTAGGACTGTTCCTTTTGGGGGACTGTTTCTCAAGAGTTCATTTGTAATTACTCTTTTCTATGATTCTGTGATTCCATTATTTTAAACCATTAGTGTTTTGCCCACTCTCAGCCCTTCAATCTCCTCCTGTAGGTACACACAGTGCATCAGTGTCTTAGAGTGGCTCTGGGAACTTGCTACTCAAGAGGAGAATATCATTGCCCTGGCATGTTTCTATTCAGCCTGTTTAGACCTGCTTTGCGATGCTGGTAAGTGGTGCCTTGGGTTTGTGAAGGAGGATGGCATCCTCTGAGAGGATTCGTGGGAACAGGCATTTAATATCTGCCTGGAAGGGTGCTTTTGCCAACAGAGTCTGTCATTGCTACTATTCAGTCTCTGTGGGAATGTCCACTTTAGGATCCAGACGGGTGATTGCAGTTCATTCATGTAGATGTATATAAGCTAGCTTGCATGGTAAGAGGGTAGCTACCAGCAATACGGTGTTCACCATAAGTTTTAAAACTTGCCCAAGTCCCACTGAAAATACTTAGCTGGGTAGTGTGAGCTGAGCTTTATGACACTGCAGCCACGTTCCTATCAGTTGCATTGTCACAGGTAACCAAGCTGGATAGTTTAACATGAGTTCAGGAACGTCCAGAGCTGCAGTCACATCTCCAGATTGTAGTGTGGATGGATGTAGTGTACCTTATGATGGATTTGAATGGAGATCTCAAGAGAAAAATTAATCCAAATGAACTATTCAACTGTATTATGAAAACGCTCTTCATTCATTCAGGGTAATTTATTTTGACAGTTGAGAAATACAACCATTTTAATTTGGAATGAGAGCATCCACACAGCAGTTTAATTTGGTTTAACTAGGCTGTTTTCAGTTTGCACCTTCAGTCAATCTGGATTTTGTTTTTTGAGCATCCCTGTGTAGACAAGCACCGAACACGGTCACCAACCCACACCAATGCAAACTACCACTGAGATCTCTCCTGTATCTTCTCATAGTTCCTCTGCTGCCCTATTAAAATGCCACTGGCTGCAAATGTTTCTGTGATGCCCATTTCTTTTGCAGGGTATGATTACAGACCCTTTGAGGAGTGTCTGCAGTTCATAAAGCAATATGAAACCAGCTGCATCCTTAAGTGTCAGAGTAACATCATGCTGAGTCTGTACGCATCTTTGGCTATCTGGTAATTAAAAGACTCATGAGATCAGACCATCCTGTTGGGGATTTATTCCCTGCCTCCCCTGTGGATGGAAAGCAGCAGAATCCTGCGGCCAGGATGTTAGATTTTGCAGTAGAAGCTCATGTGTCTGCATCCAAATTTTTCTTTAAATATAAAATGAATACTTCCCAGTTTGGGTGCTTACATTTTAGCCCCTTGATAGAAGTGGCCTGATTTCCAAACTGGCCAAGCACTAGCAACTCCCATTGCATTTAATATGAACATGAGGCTACTGGCATTTAACTGCCTATGGTATATAAACCATATGGGTAATATTCACCTCTGCACAGAGAACAGCGCAAACCCCTATTTATTCACCATGAAAGTTCCTCTTTAGCCTTCATAATAAGGAGGCTCTTTTCCTGTTTGTCTCATCACAGTTAGCAGCTCTACAAGGCAACCCGCTGGTCCCTCAGAACCGGTGCAAGAAAAGGGGTTGACTGAGTGCATGATCTGATGGGTTTTTTTTCCCTCTTTGTATTTCTCTCTGGGTGATGGAGGTTTGGCAGGTCCCACTGCTGGAGCCTGTTCAAAGACAGTTTCACCAAGGCTGAGCAGCTGGTGAGCAGAACAAATGCCTCCCTCTTTGGTACCCACGGTTTCTTCAGGTTCCTGGAGTGCCAGGTGTTGTTGCTGTTGAAAATCATGGACGATGCCCCTAAGAAAGTCCAAGAGATGCGCAGCTCAACACTGAAGGTGATGTTTCTCTTAGGGTGAATCCAAAGCTTATGTAAGGGAGGGGCTTGGTACACTTGGTTTCGATGAGGTGTGGTCCAAATTGGTCATTAGCATATATAGCTCTTTTTGAGCACTAAACTGGACTAGCCAACGGGCCGCATTTCATCAGCTTTATAAGAACTACCTCCTCTGGTTTAGCTCCACCTGTCTTAGATGAGATGCTGATAGGATTTTAGGACCTGTACTATTAACCCTGCTCTGAACAGGTCTATTGTCCTCTCTAGTACTTTGAGGAATTCCTTTCTCGCTGCTCAACAAGTCCAGTCTACCACACAAGAGTTTACAGCCTGAAGGCCTCAGTGAATCTCCTGGGAGATGAAGAAAAGAACCACATCCATTTGTCAAAGGCGCTCAAACATTCACACGTGCAGCAAAACAACATGGAGGAGCATGAGCACAAGATGGGTCCAAAGCAAGATCTGTAGGAATTCCTCCTTGCAACTCCACTTAAGCTGAGCTCTGAGGTAAGCTATATCTTGGGATGGCAATGAAAACAGGATGGGCAGTGGGGACTGATAACAGTAGCAATGCAATGGCACCAAGTGATAATTTGTGACTTCTTCCCTTTGTCCAACAATAGTGAATTGAAGTACCCACATGGGCACAATTGGGTTCCAAATAACTGTACTGAATTATAACACAAACATTCAAGGCCTGGCTTCTATGTATCCCACTAGCAGTTTTCTAGTGGCTTCTAAATCACATAACATGGTGAGCAGTAAAAGGGCTCAGTATCTAGTTAAAAGTGATATTACATCATTACTATATGCTACACAATCTATGAAAAAAAACCTGTTGAATCTATGGTGGATCTCACCTGGATGCAGTGATCCCACTTGAGAAAAGTCTTTGTTTCAAATTTGCTCTTTGCCTCCTTACATAACTGCTGCCCGTGATACAGCCTCGCATAAGCTAAGCTGCGGGGTTTCGCTTGTAGAATTCCAACCGGAGAGGCTAAGAGGCAGACGGTGGTTTGCAATTTGTTCTTTATTAACTTTTCACATTTTATATACACCTTATTTTATGGAGACTGATGAGAACTCCTATAGCAGCTTTTTACATAGCTGCTCCAACTTGTTCAGCAGAGGGCATTATATACAGCTTGCTCTCACACACCCTCCACAATTAAGATGACAACCTTCCTAGTGTTCTTAGTTTCTGTGACCTTTGAGGAAAAAGACCTCGTTCTCAAACTCCAGTGGGTAACAGGTCCTGAATGAACTATTAGGAGGTGAGCAAATGGTATGCTCTTTCCTTTCAGCTCTTCAGTGCATGAGCCTCATGCACTTTCTCCCTCACGAGCATCTCTTTAACATCAGTCCAGCTTCTACTTATCACTAACCATGCTGAGATTTCCTTTTTCATCCACCAACATGGACTGGAAGATCTCAGCAACAAAGGTCAAGATGAAGAGGACTCAAAAAAAATATGCCTCACCCAACATGGATGCCAAATCCAGACTGAAGTAAGTCCACCTTCTGTTCATCCATAGCCAGAGCATACGTTCACATTTCTTCTGCTGAGCTATGGAATACACCATCCCTGAGCTCAGACCATGGCCATGGTCTTCAAGAAAATCCCAGCGAGTTGTTCAAACAGTACGAGTGGGCAGGAGAGATGTTGGAAGCTGGGACGTGACTTATGGTGGTGAGGAGACCATACTGTCTCATAAGCATGTACAGAGAAGGGCATTATGGAAAAATCTACCCCATTTTGTAGACTTCCTTCATTTTTCCATTAGTCCATGTATTTTATATAGTATGCC